AAGTCTGTCAACCGAGGGTGAAGGGTTGCCCTGAGATCTGGCAATTCTAAAGGGCCTGGGGCTCCTGACACTGTCAGCAGCAGTGCTTATAGCCCCAGACACTTTAAATTGCCACCAGAATGCTGCATGATACACTTGGGGCAGCTGTGGTATATTAATTATGGCCCCACTGATGTAATACACTTGCTGTCCTGCCCATTTTGGGAGCACAGAGCCAGGGCCCTCCCACTTTGCCCAAGGGTCTGGTGTGACTGTCGGCGTTCCTGTGTGAGGGACAGGACTTTGGGCTGTGTGCTGACCAGGGTTGACTTTATGTTGTAATTTTTTTTTTTCTGTGCTAACCAAGGATTATCAATGCTGTGTTCCGGGCAACTTAAAACATTTTCTGTTTTATAATGCTGCCTGAGTGTCATGGAGAAGAAACGTTGCTCCCTAAGAAGTCACCCTTGTTTAAATGGTGTTCACTGTGTGAAGTGTTGGTGTGCTTTGCCCCTGCCTCCCAGCACCTAGAGAGAACTGTCAGCTGTCCCTCTAGGCATTGCACACCCCTGAGGATGGAAGGAGACTTTGCACGCTCCCCAGGCCAATCAAGGCCTGGGGGCGGGGGAGTGTGCAAAATCTCTCACTCCTGCCCCCTCCCTGTAAGGTGTATGGTTCCTAGAGTGAACCGTTAGTTGTTCAAAATAGCTAACTCTAGGCACTGCATGCCCCTGGCGGGGGAGGAGACATCACACACTCTTCCTTCCCCCGGGGAAGGCGCAGCAGGGCATCCATGGGCCAGATCAACGCACTTTGGGGGACTGGATCCAGCCCACCCCTACTCTAGAGACACCTAGGGAGAGTCTGTGCCAAAGCTGGAGTCCCTCCTTTAGTGTCAGGACACCACAACTCTCATTTTGTGTATTCTAAAGCACTTGAACTCAGGGTTGGCACTTAGCAAATAAAAATTATAGTTCTGCTTAGTGAATGTTTTTCCCAGGTCCTTCCAATTTCAAGGGAGCCTTAGGTTCACTTGTGATAGAGAGCATTTACTTTAAACTCAGAATTACTTCCGCTCCAACCATATTTGGGATTGAGCTCTGATAATTATTTACATGGTAAAAAAGAAGCAACACAATAGACTGCTCTAGTGGTAACATGTTTACACAACACCTAGACATGATGTCATTTACACCTACAGAAAGAGAGTGCTGTAGCTCCTTCACTTTCCTGATGGATCATGTGCTGTGGTACTCAGGTGGAGTTGTGTCATGCTCTTGCTTGCATTTGGTATTCTGAGGTTGAGCTGGGTTGCCCTGGAGTTTCCAGGAATTACAGATTAATATTTCATTACAAGAAACCTCCAGGAATACATCCCAACTAAATTAGTAATCCTATCTGAGAGGCAGGCAGGGAGTTCTTGGCATGCTCAGGCCAAATCCAGAGGCCCAAGGATCTCCTTTAGACTTTTTTTCCTCTTTTGCCTAGCAGCAGAGGTGACCTGGGAGGAGGTGGAGAGGCACACACACAACCTGGCTGGGGAGGAGGAAAGTTAAAGGAAAATAAGTCTTTGCTTTTCCTGCCCATTATTATCAATATGCCCCTGGCAACAGGAAACTGACATTAAAACAAAAGGAGGAGAGGGCTGTATCTGGAGCAGAAAAGCAGCAATTAGGGCTGCAGAATGCAAGGGAAGGAGCAACCTCTTAGCTGTGGAGGAACATAGACTTGCTCTTGATAAGACTGGAGTAGCTGAAAACTTTTATCTAGGGGAAAGGGACATGATTTGTTTTTCTTGTGGATCTAACCAAGCATCTCCATGGCCATCTCTTTGGCTGGTAGCATTTTGAATGAGGGAGAGTTTGAAACGTGTAAAGCTGAATGGACAGGAGTGGCCTGAGACCGGCTGCAGCAACTAGCGCCCCAGGTGGAAGGCGCAATCGGTGCCCCCGCCTGCAGGGCTGTCAATGGTTGTCATGCGTCATCGGGCGCCCCGTGATGTCATCACCACTCTGTGAGTGGGATTTTAAAGGTACCTTCAAGAATACAGCACATTTTTCCTCACCTGTAAGAAAACCCTTTACAAACTTCCTACATATAGCATTTTCATTTAACCCAAAAGGTAAAGACATGCTTGGGATGTACAGTTTAATTAAAAAAAAAATTATATTTAGGTACCAGCTAGGGCTGTCAATCTGTAGATGACTCCACAATTACGTGATAAGTGTGGGCTTATCAATTAATCCTATGGACTACTACACTCATTCCTGTCCTGCTGCCTCAGTATCATCTGCCTCTTTCATAGGAAGTAATATGGGATGGGGGCAAGTGAGACTGCTATGGGCCCAGGCTTGTCGCAGACAGACGCCCCTCTGCAACAGCAGCCTGTGTGCTGGGGTCTAAGCTCCGTGCAGATGGGCTGCTTTGGCAAACTTGGGCCCACCATGGACAGAGGCTGCTCCACAGTAGCAGCTCGCCCCCATCCTTGGGGTGGTCCAATCCCCCAGCGGACGGAGGCTGCTGCCACCCTGTACTACTACCTCTGTATCAGAGGCAGCAGCATGGGGTGGCAGGCAGGAGCCAGTCTGCAGAGGGAGGTGCTGCTTCTGGGGTGCTGATACAGAGGCAGCAGCACAAGATGGCAAGCCTGGGGACTGTCAAATAATTGTGTAACCTCTAAAATGTGATGTGGTTATAGGACTATTCAATTACATGCTATCTAAAATCCCTAGTACCAGCCTTTTTTTCTGCCCTGATTTACACACCTGATTGTCAAACATGGCTCAATAGGAATGTACTGGGTATAACTCTTCATGCAATTTTGACAATGATTCAACAATGGGGCTGAAGCCAAAGACCACCATGCCTCATTTGAACAGTGGCTCTTGTTTTGGATTATTTAAAGTAGTTTTAAATTTTATGTGTGTGTGCTGAACTCCCTCAGGCATGCTGGGGCATTGGTTGGTTGTTAGGAGGCAGAGTGAAAGGAGCACTGGGTAGTGGGGTAGGCTGTGGGTGGTAGGGTACTGGGCATAAGGATCTATGGAGATCTCTGGATGAGGGGCTTGGGTACTGGGCAGGGTGCTTTGTGGCAGGGTGCAGAAAATGCAAGGCTGGGGGTGCAGGGGAGAGGGAAGTACAGAGGTTAGGGGTGAAAGTGGCAAAATGCTTGGGTTGGGGCACAGCGTAGGAGTTGAGAGAGAGAGGTGCAAGAGTTGGGTGGGTCCATGGGGGCCAAGGGAAATGGGAAGGCACTATGCCCAAGGGGACAGGGACACTGATTTTCCCTAGGGTGGGTAACAGAATCATAGAATCCTAAGGCTGGAAGAAACCTGAGGAGGTCATTGAGTCCAGCTCCCTGCCCAAAGCAGTACTAACCCTAACCCTAAATCATCCCAGCTAGGACTTTGTCAAGCTGGGACTTAAAAACCCCTAGGAATGGAGATTCTACCACCTCCCTAGGTAACCTACCCCAGTACTTTACCACCCACCTAGTGAAATAGTTTTTCCTAATATCCAACTTAGACTTCCTCCACTGAAACTTGAGACCATTGCTCTGCCATCTATCACCACTTCGAACAGCCTTGCTGCATCTTCATCTTCTCAACCTTCCTTCAGGAAGTTGAAGGCTGATATTAAATCCCCCTCCCTCTTCTCTGCTGCAGACTAAATAAGCCCAAATCCTTCAGCCTCTTCTTGTAGGCCATATGCTCCAGCCCCCTAATCATTTTGGTTGCCCACTCCTGGACTCTCTCTAATGTGTCCACATCCTTTCTGTAGTGGAGGGCCCAGAACTGGTCACAATACTCCAGGGCTACGTCTACACTGGCCCCTTTTCCGGAAGGGGCATGGTAATTTTTGAAATCGCAATAGGGAAATGCGCGGGGGATTTAAATATCCCCCGCGGCATTTAAATAAAAATGTCCGCCGCTTTTTTCCGGCTTTTAGAAAAGCCGGAAAAGAGCGTCTACACTGGCCCCGATCCTCCGGAAAAGGGCGCTTTTTCCGGGGGCTCTTATTCCTACTTCAAAGGGCGCTTTTTCCGGAGGATCGGGGCCAGTGTAGACGCTCTTTTCCGGCTTTTTTAAAATGACTTCAGACCATTGCTCCTTGTTCTGCCATCTGTCACTACTGAGAACAGTCTCTCTCCATCCTCTTTGGAGCCTCCCTTCAGGAAGTTGAAGGCTGCTATGAAATCCCCCCTCACTCTTCTCTTCTGCAGACTAAACAAACCCAAATCCCTCAGCCACTCCTCATAGGCCATGCGCTCCAGACCCCTAGTTATTTTGGTTGCCCTCCACTGGACCCTCTCCAATGCGTCCACATCCTTTCTATAGTTGGGGGCCCAGAACTGGACAAAATATTCCAGGTGTGGCCTCACCAGAGCCGAATAAAGGAGAATAATCACTTCTCTAGATCTGCTGGCAAAGCTTCTCCCAACGCATCCTAATATGCCATTAGCCTTCTTGGTCACAAGGGCACACTGTTGACTCATATGCAGCTTTTCATCTACTGTAACCCCAGGTCCTTTTCTGCTGAACTACTGCCTATCCAGTTGGCTCCAGCCTGTAACAATGCTTGGGTTTCATCCAGGACTCTGCGCTTGTCCTTGTTGAACCTCATCAGATTTCTCTCTAGAAACCAGGGGCTCAAGCCCAGGAGACGAGCTGGCTGTCAGCCAGGGCGGGGTGCGTGAAAGCCACATGTTGGGTTAGGTGTCCTGTGTGGTCACTGAGCTGCTGTTCCCAGAAAGCTGCCGCGGCCGGGCCCTGCGCCCACCCCTGCGTTCCACTGAGCCCCGAGGGGCCACAGCTGTTGGCGGGGAGCTGGGGCTGGCGCCTCGCGGGGGCGCGGTGACCTTGACGAGGGGGCGCCGCCGCGCGGGAAGCGGCAGAACAGGGAGGCGGCCCTTCCGCTCAGCAGTCGCGTCCCTCCGGCAGGCCGCGGCAGCGCCCCCTCCTCAAGGTCACCGTGCCCCCGGCGGCCGCCTCAGAGGGAGCAGTAAGTAGCGGTCTCGCGCTGGCGGCGCTGGCGGGGCGCGAGGCGTTATCCCGCTCGGCCTGCGCAGGCAGATCCCCCGCAAGCGCCGCCGCCTGTGCTTTGGAGGCGGCGGGTGGCTGCTGAGGCTCTGCCTGCCGCTTCCCCGAAGTGAGCAACGCCAATGGCCTCTGCCGCCTCACACGGCGTTGCTGATCCGGGGGGGGGGCCGCAGCAGCGGCGCAGGTTTCCCGCCGTGCTCCTGCAGCCAGAGCAGGACAAGCCCACGCCGTGGTCTGAGGCTGCCTGCAAAAGGGCGCCTCTTGTGCCAGTGGGCTGAGCCCTAAGGAGCTGTGCTGCACCCACTCCTGCGCGTCCCCTGTGAGCTCCCTGCGCACCCCAGTTGCCCCACTCAGCGGCGCTGTCCACTGATGCTTCCCAGCTCGTGTCCGCATTAAAGCGGGCAGCAGCTCTACACGCTCATTGCGCCGGAATTGGAAATTCGGTCTCTAGGCGGCGTGGACTCCACGTGGAGTTCGCTGTAAAATGTGAGGTTATAGGGGTTCTAGTTACCTTCTCTCGTGCGGTATTTGCGTTGTGAGAGATCGGTGCGCGCTGACTGTACGAAGTCAATTAATCTGAATAGCACCAGACAGCAAAGTGTGAGAAGCATTATTAGAAGAAGAGAAAGAAACTCATCCATATGCATCGGGTTCACGAGCTCCCTCTGGATGTTTGAATACGTATAAGGCCATGAATAAAATCATCCTTGACAATGCATGTGATTTTGCTTAGTGCCTGGGAAATATTTTGCCTTTTGGACTGCAGCCTTGAGCGGCACTATACATGGACATTAACACATTTAGCGCAGACTGGCCAAGGCAATTTGCATAACTGAAAACTGCCCCCTTTTGTTTGACATTTTTCCAGCGATGGCTCTGAGCGGGGAAGAGGACTACGCTTATATTTACAACGATCTTTCTCACCCTGAGGATTTCCTGCAGGCTTTCAGAACATTTTACCGGGATGGCTTATTTACTGATATTACTCTTAAATGTGCTTCTGGTGTGATATTCCTTTGCCACAAAGCTGTTTTAGCTGCGTGTAGCAATTATTTTAAGGCAATGTTCACTGCTGATATGAAAGAAAAATCTAAAAATCAGATCAAACTTCCCGGGGTCAGCGACACTATCCTGGAGGCTCTTGTGAATTATTCATACACGTCACAGATCAAAATAACAGAGAAAAATGTTCAAACTCTCCTCCAAGCTGCGGATCTCCTCCAGTTTGTGTCTGTAAAGAAAGCCTGTGAGCAGTTTCTGGTAAGGCATGTAGATATTGTGAACTGCATAGGGATGCACTCCTTTGCAGAGCATCATCTTTGTTCTGAGCTAGAGAAAGAATCTAGAAGGATATTGTTATCAAGATTTGAAGAAGTGTGGAGGCAGGAAGAATTTCTAGAAATCAGCAATGAGAAACTCCAGTTTATTCTCTCCAGAGAGAATCTCAATATTTGGAAAGAAGCAGCAGCCATAGACCCTGTGGTTAAATGGATAGCACATGATGTGGAGAAGAGAATTGAATGCATTTTTGACCTGCTGACCTGCCTTAAAATAGATTTAAATGAAATGTATTTAAGATCAGCCTTAAGCTTGTGGAAGAAATGCCAGCTTAATGAAAACAAGATAAGGTCTCTGATATACAGTGCATTAAACACCAACCCAAAAGACATTCTCAAAAGGCCCACAGCAGCTATGTATGTTATTGGAGGATATTACTGGCATCCTTTATCAGAAGTCCATGTGTGGGATCCTTTAACTTATGCTTGGATTCAGGGAACCGAGATGCCTGATCATACAAGGGAGAGCTATGGAGTCACTAGTTTGGGACCTAACATTTATGTAACAGGGGGCTATAGAACTGACAACATAGAAGCCCTTGATACTATGTGGATATATAATAGTGAAACTGATGAATGGACAGAAGGCTGTGCCATGCTTAATGCAAGGTACTATCATTGTGCAGTTACCTTGAGCGGCTGTGTCTATGCTTTGGGGGGCTACAGAAAAGGGGCTCCGGCACAAGAAGCAGAATTCTATGATCCTTTAAAAAAGAAATGGGTTCCCATTGCAAATATGATCAAAGGTATGTCACTTTTCCTGTGGTTGGTCATTGTCTGTACTATTTCATTTGCTACCTGTAAGCTCCACGGTCACTTTTAGGGCTTGATCCAAGCCTACTAAAGTAAATGGAAGTTTTTCTGTTAACTTCAATAGGTTTTAGTTCAAGTCTTTATTAGCCAAACCACTTGTAACATCCAAACATCTGAGCTCCTTACAGGATTGAAACAATCAACACTAATGTCAGCTTACAGGCAGTATGTTCAGTTTAACTTTACCCTCTCTTGAGCAATATTTCTATACAAAGACATAGAAAAGTCACTGTACAATTTCAGCCCTTCTTGTGCTGAATGGACCTTCAGAAAGTGATTCTTGCAACCAGAAGTTGCATTCCAATAAAACAATCATAATATTTTAATTCAGTTTGTATTCTAATGAAAATGAATTTTGTAATGAAAATGATATTTTCTAATGAAAATATAATTTAACTTTAGCTCCAAGTGGATGGTAATTACTTTGCATCCAAACAGCAGTGCTGAGTAACCTGAAGTCCCTTTGAAGTTTTTCTTGTTAAAGAAGTGATTATTTTAAAAGGGTATTTAAAATTCTCTGTGAAATTAAAATAATTTTCAAGTAAGTTAAATTTCCATCCTACACTTGACAGTGCTTTTTTAATGTATGCAGTGTTGTTGTAGCCATATGGGTCCCATGATATTACATAGAAGGGAGTGAGGAAACAACGTCTAGACTACATCCCTTTTTCAGAAAAGGGATGTAAATTAGATGTATTGCAATTGCTAATGAAGTGGGGATTTAAATCTCCCGTGCTTCATTAGCATAAAAATGGCTGCCGCTTTTTTTCCCACACGGAGCTTTGTCGGAGAAAAGCACCAGTCTAGACGCTGATCTTTCAGAAAATAAAGCCTTTTCCGAAAGATCCCTTATCCCTTATTTCATGATAAGGATAAGGGATCTTTCGGAAAAGGCTTTATTTTCCAAAAGATCAGCGTCTAGACTGGCGCTTTTCTCTGACAAAGCTCCGTGCAGGAAAAAAACGGCAGCCATTTTTATGCTAATGAAGCGCGGGAGATTTAAATCCCCGCTTCATTAGCAATTGCGATACATCTAATTTACATCCCTTTTCCGAAAAAGGGATGTAGTCTAGACATAGCCCTTTTGTTTGTGAGAGAGACAAGCTGTAACACTCTTAGTACTTTTTTCAGACCTGAAGAAGAGCTCTGTGTAGCTTGAAAACTTGTCTTGCTAACTAACAGAAGTTGTTCCAATAAAAGATTTTACCTGATCCTCCTTTTCAGTGTTTAAGTTCTTAAAAACTTAAAGAATATAAGGATTACCCAAAGCTTTTATGTGGTCTGAAAGGATGGATGAATATTAACATGCAATTAAATATGTAAGAAGCTTTATTGTTTTAGTTGCCTTACATTGATAAAATAAGATGTTGTAAGGGTTCCCTCAGTCAGCGCTTCTATTACACATTCATTTAAATACCCAGAGGTATAATTTTACTCTAAAATATTAATTAAGTAACTTCAACTTTGTTTTATTGATGGAAATGGCAGTGAGTATTCTGCAGAATCTGAAGGTTTGCTGTGAATTTAATACAATTAATAGGTGTTGGAAATGCTACAGCCTGTGTCCTGCGAGAAGTCATCTATGTAACTGGAGGTCACTATGGCTACAGAGGAAGCTGCACCTATGACAAAATACAGAGCTACCATTCAGATAGCGATGAATGGAGCATAGTCACTACAAGTCCACATCCAGGTAAATAGAAATATTTCCCTGTGGAATATAGAATTTGACAGGAAGTTTTCATGAGCTTTGTCATTGCTTTAGAAGATGGCGGAAAGGTATCTAGGGGTCATAGTGGACCACAAGTTGAATATGAGTCAACAGTGTGATGCTGCTGCAAAAAAAGCAAATATGATTCTAGGTTGTATCAACAGGTGTGTGGTAAGCAAAACTCGTGAAGTCATTCTGCCGCTCTACTCTGCACTAGTTAGGCCTCAGCTGGAGTACTGTGTCCAGTTCTGGGCGCCACATTTCAAGAAAGATGTGGAGAAATTGGAAAGGGTACAGAGAAGAGCAACAAGAATAATTAAAGGTTTAGAGAACATGACCTATGAAGCCAGGCTTCATGAACTGGGCTTGTTTAGTATGGAAAAAAGAAGATTAAGGGGGGACATGATAGCGGTTTTCAAATATCTAAAAGGGTGTCACAAGGAAGAAGGAGAAAATTTGTTCCTCTTGGTTTCTGAGGACAGGACAAGGAGCAATGGGCTTAAAGGGGGACATGATAGCGGTTTTCAAATATCTAAAAGGGTGTCACAAGGAGGAAGGAGAAAATTTGTTTCTCTTGGTTTCTGAGGACAGGACAAGGAGTAATGGGCTTAAAGTGAAGCAGGGGAGATTTCGATTGGACATTAGGAAAAAATTCCTAACTGTCAGGGTGGTCAAATATTGGAATAAATTGCCAAGGGAGGTGGTGGAATCTCCCTCTCTGGAGATATTTAAGAACAGGTTAGATAGACATCTGTCAGGGATGGTGTAGACAGAGCTTGGTCCTGCCTTGAGGGCAGGGGGCTGGACTCGATGACCTCTCGAGGTCCCTTCTAGTCCTATGATTCTATGATTCTAAGATAATATTCTTTTGTAAAGAGAATAGCTTCAAGTGCTGCTGTGCATGGTAAATCACTACTGTAAGGTTAGCAGCTAGTAAAATATTTGATCAATAAGCCAACAAATAAATATTTAATGTTAATGTATAAAATAGGTTAAAATATTATAAAGTTGTTTGTTGTACTGTTATAGATGTGCTGGTCCCAAGAAATGAGCAAGACAAGATAGATAAAACAATTTCTGCTTCCTTCCCCAGACCTGAAAAATAGCTCTGTGTAGCTTGATAGAAGCCAATAAAAAACTATTACCTCACTGATCTTGTCTCATTAATATATTATAAAAACATAAAATAAGAGTTATTTTCAGAGAAAACATTCTAAATGTATGATCAAATCACTTTTTAATGCACATTTTGAATTGTTTCCTGTGTACAGTTTGGGAAGGGAACATGCAAGTTTTACAGAACTTTTAATAACTTTTTTAAATAAGTATCCTGAGTGTACTCAAATGTATGAATTGATGAAGTGTTATTTCATTGTTCTTATTTTTTGTTTGTTTTATTTGTGTGTATTGGCATTTTTCTAATTGCGAAAGTGTAACAGGGTGTTACCATTAAAGGCAATATAGAAAATAAATGATTGTTTTAGTGATTCCCAATGGATATATTAATACCAGCATAATCTGGTTGTTAATTATTATTGTGAAACCCTTTTGTTAGAGAAAATGCTCCTGGTTGTGTTTTCATTTTCAATCTTTCCAGCATGGGTTTCTTGTTGACAGCTGTGCACTCAAGTTACACACATCTTTGCAGGAGTGAAGTTTTATTAGTGACCCTGTACTCAGACTTTGTAACATTTGCATGACATGCCTGTGTGTCTTTTAGATTTAGATTTTATAATGTGGCTGCTTGCATTGAGCACTCTGCTTTGTCTTTTTAGGGCCTGATCCTGTGCCAATTAAAGTCAATGGTAAACTCTTATATTGACTTCATTGATCCTTTTTAAAAGAAAGGGCCATAACTCCCACCCCAGATAAGCTGGGAAAACAAGAGCTCAAACATGCCCAAAGGTAACTTCTTCTCAAGGTACTTAGGTTATTTGCATCATTACTTTTGTCTAAGCCTGTGAGGTGTAAATTTGAACTCAGTTGCTCTGATTTTGCACTCATTAAAATCAACTCATTAACATTTTCCTATTGACTTCAATAAGAACAGGAGCAGGCTCAATGGATGTAAAGGAAATCCTAGAATCAGGATCTATCCTATTTTATTCTATTTTGTTTCCATCCTCATCATCACAATGTCTTAAGGCTGTCCCACTTCAGTGTAGATGCTGTCTACACAGATTGGAAGGGGCTTTCTCTCATCAGCATAGGTAATCTGAGAGGCAGTAGAGAAGTTGATGGAAGAATTCTTCCATTGACACAGGGATTTAGGTCCTTTTAACTATGCTCCTTTGGGGTTTGTATTTTTCACACCTATGAGTCAGGTAATTACGCTGACTAGTGTATATATATCAGGACTTAGTTCCTTTCAGAATTGTATTAAGCGTATAATTAATATATTAATATTTTATTTATTACTAAGGAAGAACTATATTATCGATACAATACACTATTTTCCTAGAAACTCCATCCCCTCTTGGGCATTTGGCAAAGGCAGTTTTCATGGATGCTGGTTGGCAGAATAGAAAGTTTCAAGCTAATTTTGCTCCAGAGGCTACATATTCATTTTTAGAAATAAAGTTAAATTCTAGCTTTATTGGTAGCATTTCAGAAAGGAGGTCAGATCATGTACATTGCAATCAACTGTTGTCTTGAGCAGGGGTGAGGAATCTTTTCTGGGTCAGGGGCCACTGTCTCACAGAAAAATCAGACAAAAATCAGCTGCACCCAAGTGAGAAGCCCCCCCCCCAAAAAAAATTGAGTTGTCCAAGATCACACAGTAAATCAGTGACAGAGCTGGGAATCCTGTGCTCTATCCACTAGAACATACTGCTTCCATGGAATGGAATTAATAAAGAGAAATTCTTGATAGCTACATTGATTTAACTGTAGAATAGTCTGCTAAAGTCAGGGTGGAAACCTCAACATATCCAACCAAGATTGGATAAAACACAAGAAAATTAATGGAAGGGAACAATCCTGCATAGACAGGGATAGAATAGATTTCCCTCTCTACTTCCAATGATCAGCTTCACAATTTTTTAAAAAGACTCTCTGTAACTAGGGATATCAATGTGTAGATGACTACATGATTAATCGATAAGCCTGGTTTTATCAGTTAATCTTGTCAACTACATGCATTCCCCCTCTCCTTCTAACGGGGGAGACAGGAGCCATACCTGTGGGGCTTAAAAGGGGTCTTGGCTTTCCGCAGAGGCTGCT